TTTTTTTTGTATTTTTAGTAGAGACCGGGTTTCACCATGGTGGCCAGGATGGTCTTGATCTCCTGACCTTGTGATCTGCCTGCCTCAGCCTCCCAAAGTGCTGGGATTACAGGCGTGAGCCACCGTGCCCGGCCAGTCCCTTGATCTTAGACTTCTCAGGCTCCAGAACCGTGAGCCAATTAAACTTCTATTCTTTATAAATTACCCAGTGTGTGGTATTCTGTTATAGAAGCAGAAAACAAAAAAGAGTTTAGACATTGTAATCTTATTTAATAAAGACGACTTGAGTCCTATGTATGAGACATTCTTCCTTCTCAGGATCCTGCAACTTCCCTGTAACCAGCAGAAAAGGAGACGTGCAAGATGTTTGTTTCCATCTTTATTCGGGCTCCACTGAAGGACCTTCAGAGGTGTTGGGGTAAAACATAAACACTCTTTGGCTCCTCCTGTGCTCTGTTGGGCCTAGCAAGTGGGTTAGGAAAGACTGTTCCAAGAGTGGGTATTTCAAGCAACAGACGTATGTCCTGGCTGGGCGCAGTGGCTCAAGCCTGTAATCCCAGCACTCCGGGAGGCTGAGGTGGCTGAATCACCTGATGTCAGGAGCTCGAGACCAGCCTTGCCAACATGGTGAAACCCAGTCTTTACTAAAATACAAAAATTAGCTGGGCAGGTAGCGTGCACCTGTAATCCCAGTTACTGGGAAGCCGACACAGGAGAATCGCTTGAACCCAGGAAACAGAGGTGGCAGTGAGCCGAGATCATATCACTGTATACCACTCCAGCCTGAGCAACAGAGTGAGAGTGAGACTCTATCTCAAAAAAAAAAAAAAAAAAAAAAAAAAGAGGCCGGGCATGGTGGCTTGGCCTGGCGTGGTGGCTCACGCCTGTAATCCCAGCACTTTGGGAGGCAGATGCGGGTAGATTGCTTGAGCTCAGGCGTTCAAGACCAGCCAGGTGAAACCCTGCCTCTGCAAAAAAGACAAAAATTAGCTGAGCTTGGTGGCACGTGACTGTAGTTCCAGCTACTTGGGAAGCTGAGGTGAGACGATTGCTTGAGCCCGGGAGGCAGAGATTGCAGTGAGCTGAGATTGCACCATGGCACTCCAGTCTGGGTGACAGAGAGCTTGTCTAAAAAAAAAAAAAAAAAAAAAATACAGAAGAGAGAGTCCAGAAACAAACCCAAGTATATAAAGGGGAATGTTTTGGGGTGTGGGATATTCTGTATCTTGACTGTTGTGGTAGTGTCACAAATACATACATTTGACAAAACTCATCGTACATTTAAAATAGGTACATACGATTCTATGAAAATTACACTGTAGTAAATTGGTTTTAACTTTTTAAAAAGACTTCTTAAGAAATCAAAATAGTAGTAAGAACTAATTTACTTTCCTAAACCCATGACATATCACATAGATAAAATTAGGTTCAGAAAGTAAAAATTACCTCAGCCTGGGAAAGTGAAAAAAATCTGCCCTGCCATTCTTCTGGGTGGAGTTTATAAGTCAATGTTATTCATGATACCATTCTGCCATGCAAAGCATTGTGAACATTTTGGTGTATTTTATCACACTGCGTTTTTTTGTTTGTTTGTTTGTTTGTTTGTTTGAGACCTAGTCTGGCTCTGTCGTCCAGGCTGGAGTGCAGTGGTGCCATCTCGGCTCACTGCAACCTCTGCCTCCTGGGTTCAAGGGAGTCTCCTGCCTCAGCCTCCCAAGTAGGTGGGACTACAGGTGCCTGCCACTATGCCCGGCTAATTTTTGTACTTTTAGTAGAAACAGGGTTTCACCATGTTGGTCAGGCTGGTCTCGAATTCCTGATTTCAAGCAATCTACCTGCCCAGCCTCCCAAAGTGCTGAGATTACAGACATGAGCCACTGCACCCGGCCCATACTAGTTTTTCAGTTTTCCTTAAAAAAAAAAAAAAGGGTTTTCCTTAAAAAAAAAAAAAAATCAGTCATCTTTTCCAGATCTTCTTTATGGAATTACTTATATAAAGAAAAATACAGGCCAGGCACGGTGGCTCACACCTGTAATCCTAATACTTTGGGAGGCCGAGAGGGATGGATCATTAGAGGTCAGGAGTTCAAGACTAGCCCAGCGAGTATGGTGAAACCCTGTCTCTACTAAAAATACAAAAAAATTAGCCAGGGGTGGTGGTGCATGCCTATAATCCAAGCTACTCCAGAGGCTGAAGCAGGAGAATTGCTTGAACTTAGGAGGTGGAGGTTGCAGTGACCTGAGATTGTGCCAATGCACACTCCAGCTTGGGTGACAGAGAAAGACTCCATCTCAACAAAAAAGAAGGCCAGGCGCAGTGGCTCATGCCTGTAATCCCGGCACTTTGGGAGGCCGAGGTGGGTGGATCACAAGGTCTGGAGTTCAAGACTATCCTGACCAACATGATGAAACCCTGTCGCTACTAAAAATACAAAAAAATGAGCTGGACATGGTGGCACGCACCTGTAATCCCAGCTACTTGGGAGGCTGAGGCAGGAGAATCGCTTGAACCTGGGAGGCGGAGCTTGCAGTGAGCTGAGATCGTGCCACTGCACTCCAGCTTGGCCACAGAGCAAGACTCCGTCTCAAAAAAAAAAAAAAAAAAAAAGCAGTTAACCTAAAAAAGGATGGATTCATCCTATGTTCTTATAAGTCTAAAATTCAAAGCTACATGAGAAAGATTTAAATAGCACCACCATATTTAGCAAATAAAAATACAGTGTGCCGACTTAAATTTAAATTTCAGATAAACACTGAATTTTCAAAGTATAAGCATATCTCAGACAGTATTTGGGTTCCAATTATACTGAAAAAACTTTCAGTGTTTTATCTGGGTAGTCTGTACTTAACCTGACATCCCTAGATTTAAAGTACTGCAATAGCTCAGTGGTTCTCAAACTCTAGCAATGTATTAAAGTGCTTATTAAAACAGGGCTGGCCAGGCGCGGTGGCTCACACCTGTAATTCCAGCACTTTGGGAGGCCAAGGCGGACAGATTGTTTGAGGTTGGGAGTTCAAGACCAGCCTGACCAACATGGTGAAACCCCCGTCTCCACTAAAAGTACAAAAATTAGACAGGCGTGGTGGCAGATGCCTGTAATCCCAGCTGTCGGGGTGGCTGAGGCAGAAGAATCGCTTGAACCTGAGAGGCAGAGGTTGCAGTGAGCCGAGATCACACCACTGCACTCCAGCCTGAGTGACAGACGGAGACTCATCTCAAACAAAATCAAACCAAACAACAACAACAAAAACCCAAGGCTGACCCCTAATCTTGAGTTTGGGATTCAGGCGTTCTGGGTGGGACTTTGTAATTTACATTTCTAACATGTTCCCAGGTCGTGCTGCTGCTGCTGCTGCTGCTTTGGGACTGCACTTTGAGATCCAATGCAATAGCTAAGAAATAGCCTTCATTTATAAGTGGCTCTTGTATCAAACTAGTATCAGATAAAACCTAATGAGGAGAATAATTATAGTTTTTCTTTCTTTTCTTTTTTTTTTTTTTTGAGAGAGAGTCTCGCTCTGTCACCCAGGCTGGAGTGCAGTGTCACAATCTCCTCTCACTGCAATCTTTGCCTCCTGGGTTTAAGCGATTCTCCTGCCTCAGGCTCCAGAGTAGCTGGGAGTACAGGCATGCACCACCATGCCTGGCTAAATTTTTTTTTTTTTTTAAGACAGAGTCGTACTCTCCCAGACTGGAGTGCAACCGCGCGATCTCGGCTCACTGCAACTTCCGCCTCCCGGGTTCAAGTGATTCTTCTGCCTCAGCCTCCCGAGCAACTGGGATTATAGGCACCTGACATCATGCCAGGCTAATTTTCGTACTTTTGTAGAGATGGCGTTTTACCATGTTGGCCAGGCTGGTCTTGAACTCCTGAGCTCAGGTGATCCGCCCGCCTCGGCCTCCCAAAGTGATGGGATTACAGGCGTGAGCCACCGCACCCGGCCATGCCTGGTTAATTTTTTTGCATTTTTAGTAGAGATGGGGCTTCACGATTTTGGCCAGGCTAGTCTCAAACTCCTGACCTTAAATGATCCACCCGCCTCGGCCTCCCAAAAGTGCTGGTATTACAGGCGTGAGCCACCCCACCAGGCCAAAGGAGAAAATTATACTTTCTGACTGAAACAGCGGGTGGTAAAAAATACGAGCATTACTTTCTAATTCTTTTGTTTTTATTTATTTTGAGACAGAGTCTCACTCTGTCACCCAGGCTGGAGTGCAGTGGCACGATCTCGGCTCACTGCAACCTCTGCCTCCCAGGTTCAAGTGATTCTCCTGACTCAGCCCTCAGCCTTCCAAGTAGCTGGGATTACAGGCGTGAGCCCCCACGCCCGGCGGAGTTCGTTTTTAAGCTATTTAATTTTCCGGTTCCGGCCAGTTTTTCTGTTTTTGACACAGTTTTCCTATCTTTCACAGTTCGGAGTAGTGGGAAAAGCAGCCCCGCTTTTTAGTGTTAAGTGGTAAGATTCTGGACAAACAGGTCAAAAAAAAAAAAAAAAGTGAAACAACAAAAGGGAAGGAGCTGAAGACATTCCCCTCTAAATCAACTATTAACTAGCAGAGGTATGTTAATAATCTTCAGGAGGGCAAACATGACCAGAATCAAGATCTGACATCAGAATCGAATTTCGCCATTTCTCCACCAAAACAAAGGAAAACTATCAACTCTTCAGTAAGTGCCTGCACCTGGGGCCAAGCTACACGCCTACTTGTGAGAAGGACGTTACTAAAGAAGGGTCCAGAATCTCGCCCTCGCTCAGGCAGCCGGGGTATGGGGAGAGGAACGTGGATACACTCCCGAGAATCCGTCTTCTCCCACCCAGAGCCTGAGCGTCCCAAGCTACCCACAAGGGGGCGGACACTGCAGGGACGCACCACAGTGATCATTGCGCAGGCGCAGAAAGCGGCCGCGCGGGCGACGGGGCGTATTGCGCATGAGCGCCTGCCGGGAGCGTGAGAGGCGGCCCAATTTTCCCGCCCTCTGGTCCCGCCCCTCACTGAGGTACGCACCCCAACGGCGTTGCCATGGGGACCCAGAGGCTGCAGCCAGCCTGTGGCAGCGCCGCCTGCCTCGTGGCTCTTTGGACCTTGCGGCGGCGACAGTGGGAGCATCATGGAGCCTTCAGTAAGGACGGTCAATACGACCGAGAAGCGGTGGAGCCTCGGCCGCTGCCGGCATTTCTTCTGGCTGGGCGTCGTCTTCGACATGGTGGGCGTGGCGGTGCTGTTCACTGGCGTCTTTGTGGACCTGGACTTCTACGACTTGCTGGTCTACCTGGGCTCCGCCATCATCTTCCTTAGCCTCCTCTGGTGGGCCTCCTGGTACACCGGCAACATCGAGCTGCTCCCCGAAGAGACCCTGAAAGTCTCCTCCTTGCCCTCTGCCTCCTTGGTGGAGGCCCTGCGCCACAGCGCCAGCCACTCCCTCTCTGTGAACATCCAGACCGTCCCCGACAACTTGCTGATGCAGCGGCGGCGTCGTAGGAGGACCCTTCAAAGAGAAGCTTTCCTGACCGTGCCTGTCTCGGTCCACATAGAAGAACGGCTGGGAAGGAAAAGCAAGGACAAAGATGGAGAGGAAGGGGTCAAGGAGAGCAACGCCTCTCAAGACTTTGGCAAAGAGGATCTGGGTCCCGAGCCTGAAGATGACAAAAATTCGGAGACCGATGGCTCCCCAGACCGGGATGCCCAGCCGCCGTCGATTGATCAACCGCCTGCCACCCATCCAGTGCATCCTGTGTTCCCTCTGCACCAGCCTGTGCCTTCCGCTCTCCACGCCACTAAGAGCCTGATTGTAGCCCCCTCCATCTCTGCTAGACACCCTGTAGCCATTTTTGCTTCTAAGAGCCAGCCTGTAGTTTCTTTGGCTTTTAAGAGCCAAGTTGCTGACCCCATGGCCTCTGAGAACCACCTCCAGGTCCCTGCTGTCTCTCTGAGCGAGCCCCTGATTCCTGTGGCCTCGCAGGGCCAGCCCCAGAATCTTCCTCGGGCCTCTCAAACTCAGTCTCCACCACCTGGTTTGGTTTCTGGAACCCAGTCACTGGCCACCCAGGTCCATATGGGGCAGCCTGTATCTGCCCAGTCCTTTACTATTGTGGACCCACAGGCCTCTCAGGCTATCGAGGACTTGGAGGCCCTACTTCAAATGCAACAGGCCATCCCCAGCACCTCTGTAGTGCAGGAGAGTTCCCTGAGCCAGTATTCAAGTGTCCTGAAGGTTCCTGAGATGTCGGTTGCTCAGGTTTTGGAGGCTCTGCCACAACCCAGCCAGAAACCATGTCAGAAACCATCTACCCTGGCCACCGCATCATCTGCCCCTGATGGCTCAGCTTCAGCCACTGAGACCCAGCAGTCTGTCCCCACTGACAATGCTGCAGCCTCCGTGGCAGCGAAGAAAAGTCACCCTCTCTAGTAGGGACCAAATCCCAGCCATTGGCGTGGCTGCACAAGCCTCTGCCAAGTAAGTGCCTTTGGAGGAAGAGTTACCTACATTCATCCTTAATGATTTCTCCATTTGTGTTCTGGTGGCTTCTTCAACCCCTCTTGTCCAAAAAAATAAAGTTAATGGAAGCAAAATGACCCTGTCCTTTAGGGATTAGCCGTTTGGACATTGGTAGGTTTTTAAAACCTAGTACTCTGAGTAGATGAATGCTATAAAGGTTTTGCCTACTCTGCCAGATAATGATATCTGTTCTTTTTTATTTAGGCTTGAGAGAGAGTGGTGATTATATTCTTTTAGGAGCTATTAATATAAGATCTGGGAGTGGGTCGGGGATTTGGGGTCTGTAGGGTTTCTGAAACGATGATTTCAGGTGGTACAGGGACCAAACATTAAACGACATTGAGTCCTAGGGTGGGAAAGTTACTGCCTTTTCAAGTCTTTTTTTTTTTAGTACTTTTTATCTTAGGAAGAATGTCTTGATTGGGCACAGTGGCTCACGCCTGTAATCCCAGCACTTTGGGAGGTCGAGGTGGTCAGATCGATCACCTGACATCAGGAGTTCGAGACCAGCCTGGCCAACATGTCGAAACCCCGTCTTTATTAAGAAAAACAAAAATTAGCTGAGCATGGTGGCGGGCAACTGTAATCCCAGCAGCTCGGAAGGCCGAGGCAGGAGAATTGCTTGAACCCAGGAGGCGGAGGTTGCAGTGAGCTGAGATCAGGCCATTGCACTCCAGCCTGGGCAACAAGAGTGAAACTCCATCTCCAAAAAAAAAAAAAAAAAAAAAAGAATACTCAACCTTTGCAATTTGTTTTTCTAAGTTTCCAACTCCCAAACTGAGATTCTACCTTTTTGGTGCCTGGCATTTGCCAGCTGTGGAGTTCCCCAGTGTGCTGATGGCCACGTCCTGGGCAGACTGCTGGCAAGAGAAGAGGCAGGCGCTGGGAGGGTTTGGAGGGATCAGGGGTGGAAACTCATGCCCCAGCTTGGTCTTTGAGGCTCGCATTGGTAGCCCACAGCAGTACAAAAATGCAGGGTCGTGAGGTGCTCCTGGCATCTAGTGGGCAGAGGCCAGAGATATTACTGAACCTCCTACAATGCACAGGACAGCTCCCCACAACACAGAATTATCTGGCCCCCCAAATGTCAATAGTGTAAGGTTGAGAAACCCTGATCTATAAGACTCAGAGACATTTCCAAAAGAAAATAGAGAAACCTGATCTATAATAATTAAAAACTGCTCTGTAGTGAGATACTTTAGCAAATCTTATTTTGACCTTCAGGTGACTCATTCCCTCTTAGATAGTAATTATATCGCCACTAGACCACAAGAATCTTACTCATCTTTGCTTTATTCATCTTTGTATCCCCAGTTTGTATCATCTCTGAGTTAACACACACATATGGGGCATTTATTAATAATAATAGCTAACAATTGTTGAATGTTTATAATACCCTACACATGGTACTAAGTTATTTTCAGGCATTTGTGTCAGCAATCAAAGTCGGGCACCATTATTATCTCCACTTCAAGGATAGTAGATTTGATACTGAGAGGTAATTTTTCCAAGGTCAGACAAATGCAGGAGCTGGAATAGATGTATAGTTGAAGTATAGTATGTTATAAGGGCCGGGCGCGGTGGCTTACGCCTGTAATTCCAGCACTTTGGGAGGCCGAGGCGGGCGGATCACAAGGTCATGAGATAGAGACCATCCTGACCAACATGGTAAAACCTCGTTTCTACTAAAAACACAAAAATTAGGCCGGGAGCGGTGGCTCAAACCTGTAATCCCAGCACTTTGGGAGGCCGAGGCGGGCGGATCACGAGGTCAGGAGATCGAGAGCATCCTGGCTAACACGGTGAAACCCCGTCTCTACTAAAAAAAACACAAAAAACTAGCCGGGCATGGTGGCAGGTGCCTGTAATCCCAGCTACTCAGGAGGCTGAGGCAGGAGAATGGCGTAAACCCGGGAGGCGGAGCTTGCAATGAGCTGAGATCCGGCTACTGCACTCCAGCCTGGGCGACAGAGCGAGACTCCATCTCCAAAAAAAAAAAACAAACAAAAAAAATTAGCTGGGCGTGGTGGCACATGCCTGTAATCCCAGCTACTCGGGAGGCTGAGGCAGGAGAATTGCTTGAACCTGGGAAGCGGAGGTTGCTGTGAGCTGAGATCGCGCCACTGCACTCCAGCCTGGTGATGGAGCGAGACTCCGTCTCAAAAAAAAATATGTTATAAGGTATATGTTTTAAGCTTTCCTTCTAAATTAAAGTTATTAATGAGTCTTTTTCTTAATCCTGTTGATTGTACCTTGAGCTGTAATATGCCAGATCAATCTTTAGGTAACTTCTGTAAAGCCTTACTGGCAGAAAGAAAATGAGAATCAGCAATTCTTCCATTTTCTTGTTTTGCTCTAGATTATCATGTTTAACATCTCAGAAGTTGCCTTTCTCCCCCTCCCCAGAACTCACCAATATTTGTTTCTACAGATTTAACTGCCAGCTTCATAAAAGCTCAAATCCTTCATCTTGTTTTGGGAACCTCCATGTGGAGTCCTGACCTCTCACAGACCAGTGGACTTACTAGACTGCTTCTGCCAAGTGTATCTGTTTCAGTGTTGGGACAGTTTTCCAGTTTCAAATGATAAAGTTATTCACTGCCAGAATTTTAAGCTGTAATAAACTGTGCTATTCCAAATGAACCTTGTTTTAAAATAAGTCAGTTTTTAAAATAGAGTTCTTTTGTGAACACATTCTAGCATTCCAATGGAAAATAATGTCTCACATACTCTGGGTGGGATGTACATAAGTAATATTCCCATAAAAATGGACGACTGAAAAATGCAGCTCCCAGTAATTAAGGATATTTTCTTTCTTTCTTTTTTTTTTTTTTTTTTTTTGAGATGGAGTCTTGCACTGCTGCCCTGGCTGGAGTACAATGGCGCAATCTCAGCTCCCTGCAACCTCCGCCTCCTGGGTTCATGCGATTGTCCTGCCTCGTCCTGCCTCAGCCTCCCGAGTAGCTGGGATTACAGGGACACACCACCACACAGTTAATTTTTTGTATTTTTAGTAGAGACGGGGTTTATTTATGTTGGCCAGACTGGTCTTGAATTCCTGACCTCGTGATCTGCCCTCCTCGGCCTCCCAAAGTGCTGGGATTACAGGCATGAGCCACCACGCCCAGCCTTAAGGATATTTTCTGAACTCATTATGAAATAGCTATCAAAGACAGTTAACACAATGAATGCATTCTAATATGCTACAGTTTATATGTATATGCTCACAACTTCTGAGTTTTCCATTTTCCCAAAGATTTAAAATCTGATTTGGTTGCATATTTTCATAATTGGGACCACCCTTCACTTATGATCTTTCTTTTTATATGTGGATTGTTTGTGTAAGATTGCTCTAAAAAAGTAGCTGGAAGTGGTGGTGTGCACCTGTAGTCCCAGCTACTTGGAAGGCTGAGGTGAGAAGATCACTTGAACCTGGAGTTCGAAGCTGCAGTGAACTGTGATTGCACCACTGCACTCTAGCCTGAGGACAGAACGAGACCATGTCTCAAAAATAAATAAATAAATGAATAAAAAAAAATTACTTTAAAATAGTTTTAGTTTCCTTTTGAAATGTCCGATTATAGGCAAAAGTGGGTTTTTAAATGGTATAATACTTCGAGTGGGAACTTCCAAAATTTTTAGTTTTTTTAATATTTCTTCCCCTTTCGCTGTCCTTTGTTTCAGCATTTCTATATTTATAATTTTAATAACTCACACTGGAAGAATTTATGCATTGCAGATGCTTGGAATAAACAACTGGAAAGACATCCTAGGAGAAATAAGCCAGTCACAAAAAGACACATGCAGGACGAGTCCACTTGTGTGAGGTACCTAGAATAATCAAATTCAGAGGGAAAAAGTAGGATGGGGGTTGCCAGGGGCTGCAGGGAGGGTGAAATGGGGCATTGTTTAGTGCCTGTACGTTTCAGTTTCACAAGATAAGAAAGTTCCAGAGGTAGATGGTGGTGATGATGGCACAACAGTGTGAATTTACTTAACACCACTGAACTGTACACTTATAAATGGTTAAGAAGAGGGCTGGGAGTGGTGGCTCACACCTGTAATGGCAGCACTTTGGGAAACCGAGGTGGGCGGATCACTTGAGGTCAGGAGTTCAAGACCAGCCTGACCAACATGGTGAAACCCTGCTTCCATTGAAAATACAGCCTGGGTGACAAAGCAAGACTCTGTCTCAAAACAAAACAAATGGTTAAGTATATATTATGTTATTTGTATCTCACTACAAAAAAAAAATTGGGTTAAACTGGCAATTTATAAGCCATGTAACATTTATACGTTTCTTTCTGTTTTTGTTTGTTTGTTCGTTTGTTTTGAGATGGATTCTCGCTCTGTCACCCAGGCTGGAGTGCAGTGGCTTGATCGTGGCTCACTGCAAACTCTACCTCCCAGGTTCAAGCGATTCTCCTGCTTCAGCCTCCTGAGTAGCTGGGATTACAGGCACCCACCACCACGCCTGGCTAATTTTTGTATTTTAGGTGGGACAGGATTTCACCATGGTAGTCAGGCTGGTCTCGATCTCCTGACCTCAAGCCATTCACCCACCTTGACCTCCCAAAGTACTGGGATTACAGGCATGAACCACCTGCCCAGTCTTACAAATTTCTTTCTAAGTAATAATTCCATGCAACAGTTGAGTACATTCAAAGTGTACCAGGTGAGCACAGCTATTTTAATAACTCTAGAACTACAGTTATGAACTTAGAGAAAAATCAACTTTAATGCACAGCAGAACAAAGACATCGTAGAGGATAGTGTGTTTGTATTTGCAGACGCAGCCTACAGAAAAGCCTTTTCTCAAGTACAATGGCTCATCAATACTAGTATGACTGGAATTTTTTTTTTTTTGAGACAGAGTCTTACTCTGTCGCCAGGCTGGAGTGGTGCAGTGGCATGGTCTCGGCTCACTGCAGGCTCTGCCTCCTGGGTTCAAATGATTCTGCTGCCTCAGCCTCCCGAGTAACTGGGACTACAGGCACACCACCACGCCCAGCTGATTTTTGTATTTTTAGTAGAGACGGGGTTTTACCATGTTGGCCAGGATGGTCTCCATCTCTTGACCTCATGATCCGCCCGCCTCGGCCTCTCAAAGTTCTGGGATTACAGGCGTGAACCACCACGCTTGGCCGTATGACTGGACCTTATCTTGGGTGAATAGAGGTCATTTTTAAGAACTGTGATTAGTGAGTTTCAGGTGCTTCCTATGGTATGCCTAGAAGCAGAAAATGCTTATCTTGAGAGAAAAATACAAACTGATATAATTTTCTGATTTTTTTTTTTTTGGTAGATGCGGAGTTTTGCCATGTTGCCCAGGCTGATCTGCAACTACTGGGCTCAAAAGACCTACTCACCTCAGTCTCCTAAAGTGCTGGGATTCCAGGCATGAGCCACTGTGCCCAGCCAGTTTTCTTAATTAATATAGTTATTTATATACTTTAAAAACAGTAGGGAGTCTCTCTAAGCGTGCTGTGGCTCCGGAAGCTACCTGATTAACAAAATTAAAAAAAAAAAAAAAAGAAACTATAATTTTCTGGCTTATTCTTTCCATGTTTTAAAATACATGTTTTGGTTTTTGTTTTGTTTTGCTTTTTTGAGACAAAGTCTCACTCTTGCCACCAGGCTGCAGTGCAATGGCGTGATCTGGGATCACTGCAACCTCTGCCTCCCAGTTTCAAGCCATTCTCCTGCCTCACCCTCCTGAGTAGCTGGGATTACAAGCATGTAGCACCACACCTGGCTAATTTTTGTATTTTTCGTAGAGGTAGGGTTTCACCGTGTTGGCCAGGCTGGTCTTGAACTCCTGACCTCAGGCGATCCACCAGCCTTGGCCTCCCAAAGTGCTGGGATTACAGGCGTGAACCACCATGCCTGGCTGGCACCTTTTTTTTTTTTTTTTTTTTTTTAAATCACTTAACATATATATAGGAGAACTTTCCATTTTGGGAGTCAAAGAGATTTTTTTGTTTTGAGACAGGGTCTCCCTCTGTGGCCCAGTCTGGACCTGGATCTTGGCTCTGTCCAACTTCCACCTCCCCGGCTCAAGCGATCCTCCCACTTCAGCCTTCCAAGTAGCTGGGTCTACAGGCACATGCTACCACACCCCGCTACTTTTTATAGTTTTTGTAGAGACGGGGTTTTACCGTGTTGCCCAGGCTGGTCTTGAACTCCTGAGCTCAAGCTATCCACCTGCTTCAGCCTCTCAAAGTACTGGGATTACAGGCATGAGCCATCTCGCCCAGCCTATTGTTTATTTAATAGCCACTAAGTGCCAACTACTATAGAGGACATAAAGATGATTCAGTCTCTGCAGAAGTCATTTTCTTTCTCTCTCTTTCCTGTCGTACAGCACAAAATTAATGGACTAAATAGTCTGTCACTAGATAAACAAGCCCTAAATAATCAAGCACTTGCTGCAGTTTTTAGAAAGTTTAAAAAGCCGTATGAAACAAAGTATACTTCAAGTAATAAGAGGCAAAATATGCGAAGTGTTACTGCTGGGCAATTTATGGACTATTCTTTTCTACAATATATCTGCTGTGGTCTGAATATGTTCCCCAAGATTCATATGTAAAAACTTAACCATCAGTCTGGTAGTATTAAGAGGTGGGACGTCATTAAGTCATGAGGGCATGGGATTAGTGACCTCATAAAAAGGCTGGCAGGAACGAGCTAGGTCCTTTCATTGCCCTTACATCCCTGTGTCACTTGAGGACCCAGCACTGGTCCCCCTGGGAGGACATAGTAGCGAGGTACCTTACTGGAAATGGCCACCATGCCCTCACCAGATACCAACCTGCTGGCAACTTAATCTTGGACTTCCCAGCCTCCAGAACTGTGAGAAAGAAATTTCTGGGTTTTTTTGTTTTTTTATTTGTTTGTTTGTTTGAGATAGAGTCTCTGTCACCTAGGGTGGAGTGTAGTGGCACGATCTCGGCTCACTGCAACATCCGCCTCCTGGGTTCAAGTGACTCTCCCACCTCAGCCTCCTGAGTAACTGGGACTACAGGTATGCACCACTACACCCAGCTTTTTTTTTTTTTTTTTTTTGTGTGTGTGTGTGTGTGTGTGTGTGTGTGTGTGTGTTTGTAGAGTTGTAGAGACAGGGTTTCTCCATGTTGCCCAGGCTGCTCTCGAACTCCTGAGCTTACATGATCCGCCTGCCCTGGCCTCCCAGCATGCTGGGATTAAAGGCGTGAGCCACCATGCCTGGCCAAAATTTCCGTTTTTTATAAATAACCCAGCCTCTGGTACTTTCTTATAGCCGCACGAACAGATAAAGTCTGTACCTATCTGTCTATCTCCCTCATAGGTCAGTTTCCACCTGACCGTAACCACATCAAGTATCCCAGTATATCTCATATTTACAGAAAAATAAATGGGCAAATATTGTCATTTACAGAGGACCTGCTCTGTCGTGTACACTGTGACATATTTTGTGGTTTGTGCTTATGTGCTCTGATCCTTACAATAGCTCTAAAATAGCTCAAAACGTTATTCCCATTTTGTAGATCAGGAAATTGAAGTTCTGGAAACATAAGGCAATTGCCCAAAGCAATAGAGTAAATGACAAAGCTAGGATTTCTTTCTTTCTTCCATTAATTAATTAATTATTTGAGATAGGGTCC